CTGTTAACTGATTAGTTTCCTTGTTTACGGTTAGTTGTGGACTGCTTGCCCGTATCTGTAAAATACAGAAGCCATGCAAGAAAAGCGGAGTTTAAACAGCGACGCCAGCAGATGAATGTGGCTGTTTATCTTAATAATGTAATGGGAACTTGGGTGGAAAGAGTTCATGACTACCGTAAAACCTAAAATATCGTTAATCTCACACAAGTTCTTGTATTGAAGGTTCAAAATACAAAACAAGGGGAAGACATACCAATTAATAAACCGCCTAAGCAGTGGCGTATCTAGGATTTTAAACTTGGGGGTCTCAATAATAAATGTCAAAAAATTTATAAACAAAAATAACCTTAAAAAGTTAAGTATAATACATTTTATTCAAAATCATACGCAAAACAACATTACAAGCTATAAAATCACGAAACAACAAATCGTCGCTTTTTCTTTGCATGCAAAGTGTATGGAAACTCATGCTTTGTAGGCCTACAAGGTCCCATTTGCAAATATGCTCTTCGAACCTCATCTTGAATATTAGAAGAATAGTCCTTCATTCGAATTATTTTTCTTGGGTCTCTCTCAAGATTATTAAAATCAATGTCACGCTTATTTTGTCTTGAGCTCGAACTACCCGAACAAATAAATGGTGCTATTGGCTTTGAAAGGAAAAATCTTTCCATATTTTTATTTCTAAACTACACATTTAACAAAAAATACAAAACATATACCAATTAACCAATAAACAAAAATTCCATCTAAATTCCAATGATAAAATGAGTATACAAACATAAAACATATCAACAATCATATCAATAATAGACTAAAAATCTCTATCAATATCTAATATAATTTAATTGAGATTAGATTAGAATTCTAAAAAACTTACTTGAATTTTGAACCAAATAATGGTGGAGTGGAGAATTAAAATAAGTGGAGGTATGATATTGTACTTACGTAATTATAATATGGGATTGGGTCACGGGTGGGATTAGAAATTTAGGGTTTTGAAATTGGGGGGGGGGGGGGGGGGGGGAAGAGGGAACCAAACAATGGGGAATTGGGGGAAAAGCAGGTGGGTAAAGAGAGAACTTTGGGGAAAGATGTGGGGCTCAGGGGCTGGGCTTTAAAATTAAAACAATATTGAGTTATCAAGCATGGCAAACAACAACTTTTGTCTCCCTCTTATTTTATTTTTTATTTTTTAACTTAAAACAATTGGCCAAAACACTGCCGTTTTGGACCAATTGTTAAAAAGCCCTATTTTCTTTCTTCTCCCTGCGATGTCTTCTTCTCTGCTGCTACCTGCAACCTGCACAACAGCTCAGATCTCGTGTTAGAGGGGTTCCTCGGAAAATTTCTAGCATGGATTTAGGGTCACCGAGGGGTCCTGGGACCTTCCAGGTTCCTCTATAGATTTGTCACTGCTCCGAAGAAAGGATTAGAAGGTGCCCAAATAATCAACTAGGCCTACTCGAAGTAAGTATATCAATAATTACAGGCTAATCAAAATTACGGGTCATTTAAGGAAAGAGATTCTCATTTTGTTTAAAGAATAGGGATTAGTTGTGAGGCTCACACCATATCGAACTTCAATGATTTGAACCGTCAATTCCATAGGCCTCAATTATTTGATCATCCTTACAAAAATTCAATTCAATCCGAAACCAGTTTGCCTATTTAATTGTCACAATGAAATTCCAATACTTCTTATATTATAGTGTTCGTCAATTTTTTTGAACTCAATTAGATGCTTTAAATATTTCCTATTTGGCTAATATTTTTACAAAAATGATCTATTGGGTGCAACTTGAAAAATAAGCGGTTTGAATTGTTGAAGTTTGATGTAGTGTGAGCTGTACCACTAATTCCCACAAATCTCCATTTTTTTCATAAAATAGGAATCTCTTCCCTTAAAAGTTATGTTTAACATAGTTACTAATTGATATTTCCGTACTCGTCTAGTTATGAAACGAACATCTGTCTAATATATCGCATCAGTTATGTGTGGATATCATAATCGCCAACAAAATAAGTACATGGTTTTCCTACCAAACATTTCAGTTCATGAATTTTGGGACCATACTAATTGGCATTTCCTTTGCCACTAAGTGCAATTCAAACCGAGAGGATATTACCATGTGATGTTGAACTGTTGAACTAGGGACGCGTTTACTAATCTGTAATCAAATTGAGAAGAATTGAATTGATAAGGAATTGAAATGAGGTGGAATCAGAATCGAATTCCTGTTGAACTTGTTTACTAAAACTGTCTGGAATCGGAGTAGGAATAATGTTGAATCTATATAAGTTGTTTACTAATTCACTTCAATTGGAATGAAAACTCGGTTGATTACTATATTGCCCTTACATAAATAAATTATTTTCACTCTAATTAATTTAATTAAATTTATATAATAAAATTCATCTATATAAAAATATATAAATAGGTTTTATTTATTTATTAAAGGATGACATGAATGATGTTGAATCCATATAAATTGTTTACTAATTCACTTCAATCGGAATGAAAACTAGGTTGATTAATAAATTACCCTTACATAAATAAATTATTTTCATACTAATTAATTGAATTAAATTTATACAATAAAATTCATCTATATAAAAATATATAAATAGGTTTTATTTATTTATTAAAAGATGGCATAATGAGTGTCAAATGAAGGATAATGTTGGGATAATTAGAAACAAGTGAGGGGCATAATTGGTAAATAAAATCCATTCCGGATTCCTCAGGTCACAAGGAATTGAAATACCTCCCTTATGTAGGGAGTCCAATTCTTCCAAAATTAGGACTTGGATTCCTTAATGCGTGTGGACCCCACACGTATTTTGATTCCTTAAGATTACATAAACAAAGATGTATGCCATAATCGGAATTCAATTCTGTAAATTGATTCCGATTACGGGTACATAAACGTGTCATAAAAGATTATGATGACATCATTGTTATATGAAGTTAGGGAACTAATAATAATTTCCATTTTATAAAAAACAAAAAAAATTCCATTTTTTTTAAGATAATATTTTCCATTGGTCCACCTTAAGCTAACCTACGGAGCAAGGTAAACGATTCCACGACTCTTCCACGCAGACACGCACACACCCCAACTTATTTGCATTGAGACAAATCCACGGGTCAATTTTTGGACCTTAACGTTTATTGTATTCGCACAGAATAATCAACACCGACTCACCCCAAAAACCCTTTTTCCATTAAATATATTTTAATTAATCTCCACAAAATTATACAAATTTTAACATTTTCAGCAAGATCACGCAGAAGAAACCCAAGAACAGGCAAAAAGTTTCAAACTTTGAACCCCAAATCATGGTTCCGGCAACCATTTTCGCTCTCCTCGGATCCACGGTCGGCGGGTTAATGTTCGTGTGGGCAATATTCTAGCAGTTCTTGGGGAGGTTAATATGACTTTACTTACAAGTTGGGTATTGCATTTCAAGTTTTGTTTCCATAACCCATATATAAAAGAAACTTTACTCACACATGGAAAGACAAGGCGGTTATATCCCAAATCTATCACAAAGTTAAAGTGTGATTGTCTTTGGGTACCGCCAATGTGGTCCTAGTTCTTCCCCCCTAATAACCAGCTTGCATATATATTTACCTGTAATTGTTGTTGGGCATGTAAGCCTTATGTTTAGGAAAAATCTATTTTGTAATCGGTTGTACATCAATTGTTTGAGAGATATTCAATCCAAAAGGAATATATGTCTGTCTCGAACCATGAATATACAATCGAACATAACTAAGATTCTAATAATCCCCTCTATTCACACAAATTTAACTAGCATGTGGTGGACACTCAGTTGTTAGGGAAAAAGTGCAAATTTGCACCAGAACGTAATCCAAAAGAAGCACAAAGCTTCGACACAAATCACAAGCAACAACATAAGATTCCAGTAGGCCGCTTTTTCTACGGTATTATATTGAGGATACTACCAATGAATTTCGCACTGCATGATGGTCCTGCTAAGAATCTTACAGCATGTTCATGCTTTCCCGGCATTGGACAAAAAACTAATGTATAAAGTTAGAAAGAAATATTCCCCACATGTCATGGATCAGTATATATTATATAAAATATACGTGCGTACTAGTTAATATATTCTCCAGTTAAAAGAAAGGGAGTTTTATCTGAGGAATGATTGTATCCAGACCAGAGTGCATGATTGCTCACGGCCCGTATATGTTTAATATTGAGCACAAAAATTAGCACTGGATACCTATAACAAATGAAGCACCATCAAGGAGGGGTTGAGGTATCTATTATTTTTCTTTCAAGTTTGAAGAAATTTTGGTATACAATGGTGAAGAGAAATGTTATGCTTACACCACCGCGTGAGTTCAAACCTTGTCGGCTCACTAATATAACATTTAATCTAACAAATTTATCATTTGACAAAAAAGAAAAAAAAATCTTCTCAAATCTTCCAAAATCCATATGAAATTTTTAGAAGTCAACATAATGAAAACCATCACTTAAAAAAGTCTATTAAAATCCTATTTAATTACACCCCTCATTTCCTAGCTATTTCTTAGACCAACTTACGGATCAAAATTGTCTCACTTTTCACGAGAACTTGAAATTTCATTGCCAAGAATCGTTTTACAAGTTAAATTCTGTGATTAGTTCTAATATATGACTAAAATTATAAAACAAATCTAGTCCAAGCCAGGATGACTCAGTCATTCGAAGAGTCTAACATCATTTTCATTTTCTTATGACTGGCGATGGAGATCTATTAGGAGATATGAAGTCTCGGCGAAATTGTGTGCTCGTAACTTTTATTATTTTCCATGGAAAAATGAACCCTGTAAATTACTAGTGAGTTTCAAATTTGTGTGGTTAGATCAATTTTCCAAATTTTAAACAATATATTTGATTTTGAATAATGATTAATTCATTAGCATATGCCAATTTATCTCACTTTATATATTATGTAATCACGGGCAAAGTCCTTGCAAATTAAAAGTAAACTTCATGGAAATGTACAGGTAATTTCCTTACATTGTTGATAAACCTAACATTCTCCGAGTACATAGAGAAACATCGGCCTAGCTTGATGGCTATAAATATGGGGGCTATCTAAGGTCGTAGAGCATTAACACATTGTATAGAGAAACAAAGAAGAGATAAAAGAGGTTGAGGGACTCTTGTCGCAGGAGAGATGGTACAAGTTGTGCTCTAGCTAACAGCATGTTCCATCCTCCTGTGACATGAACCCCTTTATTTCTTTATGTAGATGCAATAATTTCTTCACTCCATTAACGAAAAATGCAGCATTCTCCAAATTCATTGAGAGAAAGACAGAGAGAGGGAGAGAGGTACCTCTAGAGAAGTGACGGAATTAAGAAAGGTTGGGGGATTTATGTTCGCAGGAGAGATGGCACTAACTGTACCGCAATTGCGCCAATAGTTGTTGCCATCTCTCCTGTGACCAAAAATCTCTACACAACTTCTGCACTTTTGATCTTTCTCTAAATGGTCATCTAACAAGAATCCAAAGAGAAAAAAAAATGGTATATTGGTAAGTTGGCTCCATCTTCAATATTTGCATCCATATATATATATATATATATATATTACTTGCTTATTCATAGTCATGATCTTATTAAATTTCATGATTTTTTTCCTTATCTTTGTTAGTTCTCCAAATACTTTTGTCTTGCTAATTAATGTGAATGCAACAAACTCAATTAACGTTTTTTTTTTTTTTTTTAAATTTTTTTTTATTTGTCGAACAAACTCAATTAACTTGCTAACAAGCCATTTGCACTTTTCCCGTTAAGTTTGATCTCTTTTGTGACCAATTTTTAGTTCTAGTAATTATAAAACTACTTTATGTGCCATAAGGTTGCTACTTTAATTTTTCATCCTCGTTGTCCACGTTCCAATAAACTTGTCCTCCTTTCTTCGTTCTTTTTGTCATCAGTCAAATTGTCAAAAAAAAAAAGGTCATGTCGCAGTCCATGTGATTAAAAATGATGAAGCAAGTTGAAAGCTTGTCTCGTTTCTCCGAGGCAAATTTTATAATCTGGAAATTTCACGTGTGAAAGGAACGACTCCTCCAAATGCATGTGTTTGCAGGGAAGCTAACATATTCCACTAACCTAACTATAAATATAGGGTGGATGTGCCTTCTGGAGCTGATCGATCTCTCCATCTAGAAGCTATCATTATCTGTGTAATTCTGCTAATAATTTACTTTCTCAGTAAATAAATAAAAATATATGGTGGAATGGACGGGGATAGCCGAAAGATATGTAGGGTTTGCTTTCCTACTTTGTTTACAGGAATTGCACCACACAACTTTCTACTCAACGACTTGTTAATGTATAAATCGATGCCCAATCAATTTCTCCTACTTGCTATTTCATTCACATAATTATTTTTATCTCTTACTCACTATTTGTTAATTTCTATTATTTGATTTTTTTCGATTAATTTGAACTGATTGTTAAAAATTGAAAGGGATGGATAAAAAGTAAAAAAGTAATATAAAATGGATAGCACCATCCTAAATGTAAAAACGAGAGAGTACGAGGATTGGAAGGCAAGGTTTAAACTTCAAAGAGAAATTATGTATAGTAGTTGAGGACCCTTGTCAGGAAGAATGGCACTGACGCCTTGCTGCTGGCCTTTAAGTTGGTGACGATCAGATATCCTACAACTTCTGAAGGCTGTAGTCTCTGTATATAAGGATATGTTAATTGGGTTCTTTTTGGTCTTCACATTTTGCGACTTCTTATTTTGGGTAAGGCCTTAATATTAGGGTCTGTAAACTCCATTGATTTCCAGAACCACACTCCATAACTTAAATAGATCAAGCAAATATTAACGTGACGACATTTTAGCTTTTTTTTTTCAACATGATTTTTATCTTATGTTTGTAGATTAATTTTTTGATTAATATACTCTCAATTACTTAAGCTTGACTTTGTCAAGATATGATTGTTTTAGCTAGGTATCTACTGCAGAAGCCATATATACATTGTTAATTAAAACAGGCCTATCATGATTATCATAATCTGACGATTGATCTAACCGCACTAAAACGTGGATTAATAATAAAAGATTCCTTCTATTTGGAGCTGTAAATATAATAAGTTGGTATGATTAGATGATGGAATTCTTGGTGATCTCATATATATTGCAGTACTAATTTATCATTCAGACTACGTTAAGAGATTACTAATCAACTAATAATACTAGTTTTGCAGATCGATTTCATCTCACAACTGTTTTGCGTTGACAAATTTCATGAATAATTCATCAACTCACATGTATGAGCTTAGGGCTAGGTCTGCTGCTGAGATCATATGATGACTTAGTTTATATATATATTTTTATGAAAAAATAAATTTATTCACCCAAGGACAACCCCTGCCTAAATATAAGTTTATATATTTGTTACATTTTATAATATATATTTATATCCAAAGCTGTACTAAATATGTATTGTATATTATATTTTGTGTCCTTTATCCATGACCATGAGGCCTTAATCATTGTTTGTGAGAGAGAAATTTGGAGTTTATAATGTACGAATAATAGTTATTTATAGTACCAGTTGCACTTTGTTAAAATAAAAAATGAAAATGAAGAAATACCATACTGGCTCTTTCATGCCTATATAAAAAGCTGCAGCATGAGGATTCCGGAGAAGAGATCTAGCCAGTGGATCCAAAAAACCGTACTAAAAGCGAGATCGAAATATCAAAGCGTCGGGACTTCTGTCGTGGGTGAGATGGTGCCGATGCCATGTAATTCGGGGCAGCGAGCTTCATCTCTCCTCGACAGAAGCCTCTAATGCTTTGATTCTACGGAAAAGAAAACCCATCTTTAATTTTTTGCAAGCTCGGAGAAAGATCAGGTGAAGTAGTGTTGTTTTACCCATTTTTTTGGATTTTGTTGTCTAATTTTATTGTATTCTAAGATTTTGTTATGAACTAAACCTATTTTCTTGGATCAATGGATCATGGTAAGTGCTTATATACATGAAGGGGATCGAAAGAACAGAAAGCATATATTTGTGTGTGTGTGTGTGTGTGTGTGTATTTTCTGTAAAAAGAAAAGAGAGTACCTAGCAAATGTTTTCCAAGATCCGGATGCACTTTGGTTTTTCCTCCCCTTTTAGTTAGATCCGGTCAACTGTGACGTCCTCTTCTACATGGGCAATGGAGAATCGCATGGCCTGGTCAGCGGGGGTTTCGCTCATTAGCTAGCTAGTGAAGGACTCAAGCACATGATTTCTTCTGAGAAGGGTTTATATACTCCCTTATCCAGATGAAGGCTAAAGGATGGAGAGCTAATTGAAGATCTTGTGTTCACAGGGCCGCAAGTTTAGTCATTTTACATGTGATTGCAGCGGTAACTAGGACTTAAAAATCATTGTAAGCCTGAAACTGGTGTTTCTCTATTATATTTTGCTAAATATTCAAGCCAGGTTATGTAGTTTGGAGATAGCAGCAAACCCTATTTTTTCTTATTTTAATTATTATTTGAATTCAATTTTTCTGGCCCAGAATATTAGGTACCGTTTGGTATGTGGGACGGGACGGAACAGAGTGGGACAAGGCGTTCTGTCCCACGTTTGGTGCGTCTTAAACGGGTGGAACGAGCTGTTCCATGGGACGAGTTTTGGGTGAATTTTCGTTCCACCTCACCCCCTGGAACGACTCGTTCCACATCCGTGGAACACAAAATTATAACCTCTCCGTCTCTTTCTTCTTCCTCCTTGTTTCCATCCGAGGGCATCTTTGCTCCCGCTCCGTTCCGTTCCGTCCCGTCCCGTCTCATCTCGTTCCGTCCCGTCCCGTCTGCATACCAAACGAATTATCTTTTCTTTCCAGTGTTGTGCTCTATAAATATAAATATATATATATATATATGTATATAAGAAATTGTTATTAGCATTTCAAAATTCACATTCTATACTCTAAATTTTCTATATTTAGAAAGAAAAATACATTTGTGATGAGTGTAAAATAAGATTTTTGAAGTGACAATAACACTTTTATATATATACATATACATACATACATATACACACACTTTTATGGTCCCAATGATTTTATATATAGGACTATGTACACACTTTTGTGGTCCCAATGATTTTATATATATGCTTTTAGGGGTTTCTTTTTGTAGGGTTGGGAGCTTCTCCCTCTACCTTGGATGTGTGGTAGTGGTGATGATAATGGTGTTAATTCATACATTCGTAATCAGTGATGGTGGTGATGATGGTAGTGTTAATTCATTCGTAATCGGTGATGGTAGTGTCAATTCATACATTTGTAATCAGTGATGGTGGTGGTGATGATAAATTATACATTTGTAATCAATTTATTTTATGTTTATTGTTTTTTGACAAGCATTTAACCGATCTTAATTGCAGTAGAAAGTATTTTCTCTTTCTCATTACAGTTGCACGGTAGAAATTTTTCTTTAGATGGGTCGTAAAGAGGTAAATCAACTATTTTATGATGCCGAAAGCTTGATTGAACGGTGTACGTACGGCAGAAAAAAAATGGCAGAAAATTTGATTGAATTAGATGGAGGAGCGTCAAATCAACTGACTAATGAGAGTTTATTTTAGCAGGAAAATATCACTTTCAATCTAATTCATCTAATCACTTAATTCAAACTCTTTAAATTTGATTCAAACAGTTAAAAGTTATTATAACTTTTAAAGAATTTTATGTTTTTAGCCGTTAGATTAAATTTTGAGAGCTAAGATTGATTAATTGGGTGAATTTGGTAGAATGGATCTGGAGAGGATCCCTTTCCTTTTTTTTTTTTTTTTTTATCTATAACATTAGTACCAATAGGATATATTTCAATTTTTTTTTTGTGAGGATTTAAAAATTTGTAATCGTATTTATTCATTATATATCGTACTATTATTTTTTATCAAATACTATTTATATTTAATTTTAAATAAAAAAATTTACAAATATTTATAACTGCACAAATGAACACGATTTATAAATTTTTGAAATTCTCACCAAGAGGATTCGAACTCCCAAAATATATCATAATATATCTTTCACTTATTATATCATGAGTGATACAGATATAAACTGATATATTCTCAATTACACAATACAAAATATAATTACAAAGAAATGTATCACTAATTACACGTAAAAAAAAAAAAAAACTCTCCCAAACAAGAACAATAAAACATAGTAGTACTAAAGAAACTAAATTTTTATATAAAAATTTATAAATTAAATAATATGAAAATTGATGATTAGATTATGATTTAAGCATTAATAAACGTGTTTATTTCTATTTGTAAAACATCATTTAATTTATAAATTTTATCTATAAAATTAATTTCCCAAACAGTACTCATAAAACATATGTTATTCACGTGAATTGTGCGGAAGATAATTATTGAAGTGGGGCCATAGCTATTTGCTGCAATGCATGCTTCTAAATTGCTTTGCATTCATAGACCATTTAAGCACAAAAGGCGTTTGGGACCATTAATTTTACATGAAAAGAAATGATTGAAAACAAAATAAGAAGGTAGCTAGCATGCACAACACAGGTGTACGGAGAGCCACACCCGTTTGGATTATTTAGAGGTATGCAATGAATTTGGCTAGGAAAAGTATCACTCCATAGGACATGTGGTCCTATGTTTTAATGTGCAAATATTAGATTTGTATCTATGTGTTTCTGATTCTAAATTTACTCTTTTATTAAATAATTGTAATAGTTTTGAATTCTCTTTTCTCCCTTAATACTAATATATATATATATATATACATATATATATTTAATCCATATTCCTCTATAGGTGTTAGTATAGGAGAATTCAATTAGAATTCTCATGGGCTAGGTTTTATAAATTCCTGTTGGCTTAAAATTACTTTTATCCCAAGACAGTTAACTTGTATATATTTGTAATATTATGTCATCAATACCTTTGAGGGAATTACAATTCTACAATAGGGTAGTAAGTAATTACATGAGTCCATCACTTTATGTTTTGCTAGTTGCAGCAAACCCTAATGTTGATGTCAAGTCCCCTTCAACCTTTAACACCATGCACTAGTGTTCTTAATTACTTTCCATCAATGAGAGTGAACCAAATCTTAACAAGAAAAGAGAAATACAAGCTCTTTTAGGAGTTACTAATTTTATTTTCCTTTTAGAGTTAATAATTTCTCAAAGGCACTAAGGTTAGCCCGTGATGAGAGTGGACGTAGTGTAAAGTGATGGGTACGAGTAGCCTAAATTCAAAATCCAAAACTTTTCAATGTAACTGAAAATAAAATCTCTCACAGGCAGCAATGGAGTTTGAAACCTTTTAGTGGACGGTAGGGCTGGTCAATGAGTAGCTATTTAGCTAAATGAATGTCCATTTTTAAGTGTTAAATGTGTGGTCATTGTGGTGATGGGCACCACCATCAACATTGATTTTATTCACATTTTAATGTAAAACTCATTTAATTGCAATACAATACATCATTTGGAGGGATCACACGACGCGACTTGAAGAGTTATTCTACAAAAATACTTACAAAATAATAAAAGTTTAGGTAAAATGAAAAAGAACGAGAGCTTTTCCCCCCGGTGGGAGGAAATTCTTGAGTGTAATCATACGTATATCCGCCATGTGAAATGAGACGAGAAATATTGAGACGGATGTGTTAGAATCTCTCCACGGCAAGGGAACGTCATGGATGGCCTGTGCCCAGGAGGCTCCAAAGCCTAAGGGGTCATGGGCTTCAATTCATAGGCATGACCAAATGAATTATCATCCAACAAACCAATTGATGGCAGTCGAAAAAAATAAAAAAAACCCTAAACGTAACAAGACGAGCAAAACACAGCTTTTTTTTTTTTCTGTTTTTTTGGTTGAAAGAAACAGCTTTAGATCCACAGGTTTGCACAGAATCAGAGACAAGTTTTCTTTAGATTTCCTCTTTTCAAATATACATCTTTCCAGCAGTTCTTATACTCCCGCCATCATTTCAAGAGACATTTTACTGCAGCATACGACATGCCCGGACCATGACAAGTACAGTATCCAAAAATTTTGGAACGATAAAAAATGTAAATGGGATATGGTGGGCTAACCTATAAATCAATGATACATACCATGCCACTATAGCAGGAAGCACTACAGCTCATCGGAAGTGTGTGCATACATTCAGCCATCTCCTCTTCCAACTATATCGAATACCATTTCCCTGATCATGCTGTATTCCATCGTCAATTGTAAACTAACTGAACTGGCGCGGGGAAGCACTTTTACCAGCTTAAACAAGCAGTTTTGAGTTCTTGTCATTTGCACTGTTTTGGTCGGAATTTCTCATTGGACAATAGAGAGCTGATCAAAACCTCGAGCCTTTTTGCTCCAGGGGTAGGCCTGAGGATTGTGGTACTGCCAATATCAGAGCATGGATCGGATCCATTGTCCCTTTTTCCTATGCACCAACCACCAGGAACAAGCATACCAGGACCCTTAAACAATAACTCAGAATCAATTTTGCCAAGCACTGGATCATCTTGGCGAAACTTTCTTGCAAAGGGAGCATTGCTGTTGACCATCCTTTGCATATCTGCAAGGTTAAGGTGGTGAGGATGTTGCTTGGGAGGGTTGTCCCATGTTATAAAATGTAGGTCACTATTCACAGTTGTGTTGCGGAACTCTTGAGCATTACAGATGACAGTGTGAAAGTATCCCTCCGGGGACGATATAAAGTTTGCGTAGTACATGAGAACAGTTCGAGGTAGGTTGTCCCAGCCCCATATGCAGTAATCAACAAAAGGCTTTGAAAGTGCCATCCAAGCAGAACCTATGAGAGAAAGCAAACGTTTGGTTAAATTAAACTTATGGAAACAGGAAATGGTTCTCAATGTAGAGCTTATGGATATTTTCCAGGGATTCTGTAAGGGCAGGTAGCAGTTGGAGAGGAGCAACAGGTGGAGAATTGATGGGAAATTGGAAAATCTCACTGAAAAAAAACCACATTTTTTAACGTCCAAACCCTACAAAGGCCAAGGTCAGGCGAAAAGGAACTATAGGAGTGCTGTGTAAAGAAATTAGCTAGCACCCTAGAGGACCTCTGGACTATATGTTTTTAATGTGCAGAGTACATGAAATCCCAGCGTTGTATAAGAGACAATTTAACAATCACGCAACATGGAATCAGATTATGTAGCTTAATGCTTTGATGTCGTTATTAATCATGGTAATTGATCCCACATTGTGAGAAGAAAAAAAAGCATACTAACTTACTTTTATGCCTAATATAGAATATCGGCGATAAAAACTAGGGTCCAAATGCACATGCAACTATTATGAGTTCACGTTCAGAACACAGAACAAGAGGATATAATCCACACACACATATAAGTTGTTTGGTTCAGCAGCAAAAGACAGCCGTTCGACACACATAGGAATGCATTTGTGAAAATTGTTAAATAAAGGTCATTCCTTAACCGCAACTGTTATTGAGTCATCAATACGATGTTCTGTTTTGTTCCT